AAATTCAAAAAACTCCCCCGGCTGGGATGGCATGGGCGGCGGGCCCTTTAAGCTCATTCAAGGGGTACTTCTTAAGCGGAAAAAAAATCTGATATTTGTTGCTTTCTGTCGGTACAAGGTGTCGACCAAATGTTTCTGATCCGCTTCGCTCGCTGGGGGGCTTCGTCCCCGCCCCATTGAAAAGCCCTTGATAATTCAGTCTCAATTTCAGCTTCTAACTATTTTGACGGATTTCGCTGGGGCGTTGCTGCCGAGAAAGACCAAGAAGACTTCCTGTCTCTCTCGCTCGTATAGGGTGTCCTCCAGGGGTGTGTGAGAGAGAGAGAGCAAGGAAGCGGCCCTGACCAGAAGCAGTTTACTGACGTCATGTCGAGCTGCAGCGCGTGGCGTGGGCGGACCGGGAGGGGTAGCCACTAGGCCAGCAGGCCCGGACTAGGCTCTGCAAGGCCCTGCTAGACCACACAAAGCTAGCTGCTTTAAGAAGATCAAAGCAGTCCGTCTTATTCGTCCTCGCCCCACCGTCGCTGCCCCACAGTGCTGGGCTGTGCTCCCAGCCAAACCACGCGCCTCGCGAAGCGTCGCGAAACCTTGCAGGCATCGGTTCCTTCAGGGCAGAGGGAACGAAGCCCTCGATGCTTCCCCCTGGCTCTGTTTCCGTTCAGTGTGGCTGTCTCTGCCCCACTTCTACGGAATGCCCCATGAGCGTGGGGGAGACAAAAGACAGCGTGTATTGAATTACAGTGCGAAGGCCGCGCTTCGTTTCAAAGAGGCATCGCCAGGCGCCCCGAATGGCGGCCCTGCCCGCGCCCCACCCCGCCCCGCCGCCTGCGTCCCGGAAACTTGTTAGAACGAAATGGATGACACAGTGGCGGCTGCGAGCAAGTTTTGACGTACTACTTGCTTGGTTACTTTTCCACCTCGCGGCACTCGCGCAGTGCCACACACACACTCACGAGCTAGGGGCCCCGTGATCCATCACGCGGCTGTGTGTTGCAGGCGGCGGCGGGTCGAGGGAGAAAGAAGAGAGTCTCCCCTCTCGCTCTGGCAGGAATCCAAGCCGCGCGACGGCCGCTGCTGCCAGAGACTGCATGCCGCGTCTCTGGCAGACGGCATGGCGCCAGCGCGCCAGCACCCAAACAGGGCTATGGAAAATCAATGGGGTCACGAGCGAGACTGACTGGCGGGGTGAAGGGGGTCGAATGAGACAAAAGTGATGAGGAGCTCGGGGAGGCGAAGCAGGCAAAGCAGGCGAGCGTCAGGCACAATAAGCGAGCGCGGGTTATTCTGATGGAAGGAGCTGGCCCACTGCCGCACGGAGCGCACGGCGCACAGTGGGCCAGAAGACCAGTGGAGGCAGCCAACATTCTAGACGAGACACATCTTGAGCTCCGGAGTCGCTTAACGGGACAACCAAACGTATGACCGCGTCAATGGATTGCTTCTCTGAACGAGGAATCTCCATCGGTGTAGTCACACGTTTAGTTCGAGTCCTGTTTAGTGACTGCGGAGCTCAAAACGCGTATAGAGTTTTGGCCGCCTCCCCAGGTCTACGGCCCACTGCGGCGAGCGTAGCAACGCCAGCAACTCGGAGACGGCGAAAGAGGCGGGGCGGCAAGATCCACACCGCCGCCGCGGCGCGCCGGCAGGAGGACCGTGCAAATATCAATTCTGGTCTTACGCCGTCGTGTGGGATGCACGCCGACGTTGTTTGCGTGAGGTACCTCCGAAGCCCTTACCCCGGTTAGTCCTCCCACAAACTTGTCTCGTGTTTGTTGAGCCCATTCCGCGCGAGCCACGCCGAGCCACGCCGAGCCATGCACACCGCGCCGTGAAGCGCGCATCCCTCCGGCCTCCAGGCCTCCAGGTGGGCCCGCTGCGGCCGCCTCCAGCACGTCCGGCGCCGCGTGTGCCGGATCACATGGAAGCCTGGACAGGCTGGCCCGGACAGGCCTCGCCCCGCCCCGCCCCGCCCCGCCCCGCCCCGCCCCGCCCCGCCCCGCCACGCCCCGCCCCGCCACGCCCCGCCCCGCCCCGCCCATCACGAACGGTGATTCACTGGAATTACCATTCCGTGCCTAGCCGGGCCGTGCCTGGATAAGCATGCCGACACACTCACAGCACGGCCGGCCTGTTTGTCTATTCTCACAAGAAAAATCCACTTGTGGCGTGTTTTCGTGGTGCTGCTGCCGCTGGCTGGGGAGAGGACCGCATTCCAGCTCCAGACGGAGCAGGTCGCGATCCCGCCCAAGGCAGCCACGGCTCGGGGTGGCGCCCTCCCGGGACGCCGCCGGCCGCGCTCCGGGCGTGTCCCGGCGTCCCGGAACGTGGCCCTGGCCCTGCCGCCCTGCCCCGGAGAGCGTCCCAGCCCGCTGCTGTCCCGGGCTTGCAAACTTATCGGCGCAAAAGGGGATTCTGGGACTTAAGCCCCGGGCGAGCGCCATGGCGAACGCCGCGACGGCAAGCGTACCGATGACGGTCGTCATGGCAACACACACAGGGAGGGCCCATAAATTCCTTAACGCAAGTCAACACGCCAGCCGCGCGTCTAACAAGCTCATTAATGCAAATTAAGATTTGTTGGAAGTGGCGCGCGCCGCGTGAGGGGCGGCCGTGGCAGCGACGGGCGCGACGCGCGGGGCTCGACATTCGCTGACACATTGCGTGTGTCGGCTTTGGCCGCGTCTTGGCGTCCATCGGCCGCCCCGCCCGCCGCCCACCCCGCCCCGTGGACTCGGCCCGCTCGGCCGCGCCGTGGGGGTCCGGCATATTGCGCGCCCAAAACAAGTTCGCAGCGCTAGACTATGCATAGCGCGCTCGTCCCCATTACTTTCTGTCCTCCTCCTGTTCCCTTTGGATTTCTTGGCGTCGCCCACGCGGCCCCGTCGCCCCGCCGTCGCCCCGCCGTCGCCCCGCCGTCGCCCCGCCGTCGCCCCCGCAACCCGGCATTCTTCTGCAATATCGCGATCCGCGTCCGGGACAGCTGGGAATGGTAATACGGCTCCTATTTCATTACGCCGGCGTCGCGCCGTCTCTCTCGCACCACCGCGGGACGCCCGCCCCGCCCCGCCCCGCCGCGAGTGCGAGGAAGGGAGTGGGTGTTTCGCCCCGTCTCCACCCACCCAGCGCCTCGCCCAGCGCCAGTCGGACGACGCCGAGGACGGGGCCCGACGCTTCGCGGACCGCGGTTGACATTCAGCGAACTCGGCACATCGATCTGGATTTATTGCTGCAGCTCGCCACTCGACAAAGTCGCATGAAGCGCAGAGAAAAAGCAAGAGAGACTCGCCCTTTGAGGCGTGCCTCGGGTTCTAGGCGCGCGCCGCGTGCACCGCGTGCACTGTGAGTGCGCGCCCTCGGGCCAAGTTGGCGGGGGATGTCCCGAGTGGTGCTGATCACGGGGCTCTTCAGGCCGGCAAAGCCAAAGCCAAACCCAGAGTCGTACTACTCGCTTCCGCGCTTCACCTGAGCGGGCAAGCCAGTGCCCCATTGTCGGGATTGGATTCACACACACACACACACCACGTAAAACATGCCTTCCGTGTTGCCCACGCAGAGTGCGTGAATGGTGAAGCCCTCGCCGAGAAATCTCCGTAGTTATACCAGCCCGCAACGCGTTGTAGCTCCGTCTCTTTCTTATCTCTGAGCGAGGGCCGGGTCGGAGCAGGGTATACTGTGTTGCCGGGGCTACAACACGGAGCCACACGCACAAACTCACACACACATTACACGCTCACTCACACATCATCGGCAGGGCGGTCGAAGGGTGGGTCGGTGGCTGCTGGTCTTCGCGATACAAGATATGCTGGCCAGCGGCGCACCCTCACACATGAGTGGAAATTTTAATGACGCAAGTTTGGCTCTGGCCTCCTGGCTGGCCTGGCGGGCTGGGCTGGCTGGGTCTCTGCGGGGTATACCCCTCCTCCTCCTCCCGCCCCTTGCTCCGAGGGCCCCCGCGGCCTGACTGCGAGGTCTGAGAGGTTGTGGGCCTCGTAGAACATCTTGTTTGGCGGAGTTGCGGCGATGCTGGCAGGGCCCGGGGAGGGGCCGCGCCGGGCCGGGCCGCGCCGCGCGCTGTGCGGTGCTTCACACACCCATCGCACTAACCTAGCCCAACCGTCGAAATAAAATACGCCGGGCGGTACGCCAGCCCCGGCGTCAGGTCGTCCGGTCGAGGACGTAGTGGAGGACTTGGTGGAGGACGTGGTGGAGCGCGAATTATTGGCGCTGCTGGAGTGGCCGGCGAGGGGGAGTGAGCGGAGCAGACCGGCCGAATCTTGTTTGATCTGCAGCAGCGGGACCACCGCTCTGTCGTGACTTGGTCGTTGGCAATCGCAGGGAGCAATCGCGCTGCCGCATGTTGTTTACCACTGCCGTGACCTTCGGGCCGGTCGGTCGGTTCGGAGGGCCAGCCTGGCTAGCGTCCGCTAGCGTGCTGCGGGGGGCCGACCAAGCTCTGCCCTTCCCTGGCACTCACATTTACGACCGCTGCTTCGTTCCTCCTCCGTTATTCCCTTCCGGGGCATCCCGGCTTCCACTCCAGGGGCTGCACAGCGGGCGCAGCGCCCTAGCGAGGGCCCCGCGAGGGGTGCGGCCCCCCTGCCCGCCCCCGGCCCTTCACGACGCTGCTCCTGAGCGACGCGGCCACCACTGGAACCGTTTGCCCGCGTCTTCTGGACCCTACAATTTTGTTTTTTCCTCAGCACGAGAGCAGCCGACTTTGCGTTTTTAACGTCACCCACGAACAAGATCTGCATGTTAAAGAAGTTGAAATTTTCACTTCTCTCATTTTCTCTAGCTGGTTTTTACCTTCAAATCTTCTCGTTTTTAAGTTTTTTGTACAGCATAGTCCCAGTTTGCCTTTGCATTTCGCTTTTCTCAGGTGAAGAGCCGGAAGATCCTCACATGACTCAAATTCAAAAGTAGATCCAAAACTTTGAGCCGCGGAGGGAAACTCTTGCTCCCAGCGTCTCTGACACCCAACTGTTTTCGGTTTGTTGCAGGATTTTCCGCCCCATTTGCATATCAACGAAATGGAGGTAAGGAGGAACAATGCTGCCCTAAGCTCACTTCCGCGCTCCTCGCAGCACAAGGGGTGGCCCGGCGTTCGCGGCGTTCGCGTTTGAAAGGGGACTTTATCGCTGCGAGCAATTCTTTCCGGATCGGGTCTGGTGGCCTTTCGGCTCCTTTGGGGACAAACGCATGCATCGGCACGCTCAGCCAGGACGCCCCTCCCCCACTCCACCGCCTTCCGCCCCGACCCTCCCTCTGGCACCGTGCCTTGTGCTTGCTCTGCAAAAATTGTCGACGCTGCGCTGACACGGGATCGCCCGGCAAACTGTAATAACTTGTGGTTCAATCCGGCAGAAACTGAGTTAACGCACGCTGAGGGCGCACTTTGAGCCAAGACCGACCCAAGCACCCTCTCATGCTGGCCTCTAGGAGCATAGCGGTCCCCTTTCCCACATGTGGCTACTCCCCTTACTTTTACTACTACTACTACTACTACAACCACTACTACCACAACTACTACAGACTTACAGAATGCTGATTAGGGGAACCAGCAACACTGTAATTGTATCCGTCGCATAGTTGCACAAGGAAACAGAATCCGGGTTGCGACTCAGACCAAACGAATTAAATCAAACTTCAGCAAATTTGTGAACTTCGCCCCTTTTAGACGTCTGTCCCCGCTCCCCCTGTCTTTTGTCATCCCTGCCCGAGGACTCGTGCCGTCATTCACAAGGAAGTCCACCAAAACAGCGACGAAAAAACACTGCGAGTCGGCTGGCAAAGGGAGAGGAGGTGGCGCTTCAGAGGGTGAGGAGACCCAGAAAAAAATGATTAAAAAGCGACCCAGGTGGAGGGACGGCAAGGAGCACAGCAAGAAGGACACGGAATTAACGCCAGGAAATAATTACGAAGCCCTGCCGCGCTGCGGGGCGTTGCACCCGCGCCCAGCCATGTAGCCAAAAGTAATGACCAGAATGTGCCCTCGACGGACGCGACGCGGGTGAACGCTCTCCGCGTAAGTGCGGGCCGTGCGGGGCGCTGCAGGCAGACGGCCCCTCCCCCTCGCGGTTCCGGCCGGCTCAAATAAAAGTGACGAAACGTCGTTGGTGCCTTTCAATTTTTTCTCCCTTTGCCTCGCCTGCTTCGCTTTGTTTCGGCCGAGCCGAGCTGCAATCACTTAGGCCGCTGCGGTCAGCGCTGTGCCGCGGCAGCCGCGGCCCGGGGCAGGGGTGCTGGGGGTGGCGCGTCGAGCGCGTCGAGCGCGTCGAGGCCGCCAGCTCTCAAAGTGGCGACTTTCGATTCGGCTTGTTGTGCTTGTTGCGCAGGAAAAAACAACGAGAAAAAAAGCAACTCACATCCCGGCGCGGTCCCATGGCACCGCACGCATAACTTTACCATACAGACCCCTTCCCCAGATGGGTGGCACCCGCAAAAATTCCGCGCCAAACTCAAAGCCGTCGGAGAATGCACCCGTTCGTTCCGTGTATCGAAAATTCGCCGGCGGCTAGAAGCGCTGCCTCCACTGCCGCCATCGGCATGCCTCGCGTGCCGCCCCGCGTGCCGCGCGCGCCACATGAAAGGCAAGACAGGGGCGCAAAGCCCGCCCCGCCCGGCGCAGCATCCTCTCGACGAGTCACTGCGGAAGTCGGAGCTGTTGACGGTAGGCAACTCTATCTACGCCGCCCTGCCGAGGAGCGGGGAGGCTGGCAACTCTAATCGAACGAACCATTTCCCCCGCCGGGGATAACGATGGACCGAAACGCCTAGCCGGGCCCCGGACTCAGGCTGCGCGGGCGGGTTCGGAACCGTGGCCGTCCCTCTCACTCCCCAGCAGGAAAGCCCCGGCAGTGCGAGAGAGACGCGGCTCTGCTTTTAGTCATTTGGCGGAGCGAAGACGACTAGAAGGCGAGAGCCGTCCCCACTGCACTCCCCCCGTCGAATTTGGCACGTCGATTGCATCGCCACCTCACTGCAAGTTTCCTCCGCCTGCCTTAAATGCGGCGCCCATCAGCGAACCGCGGCGAACCGCCTCCACCAATCTGAGGGCGGGCCGAGGCTGGGGCTCCGTGGCGGTGCTCGAAGCGAAGCTCCTAGCGAAGCTCGAAGCGAAGCTCGAAGCGAAGCTCCAAGCGAAGCTCCAAGCGAAGCTCCAAGCGAAGCTCCAAGCGAAGCTCCAAGCGAAGCTCGAAGCCTCCCGCCGTTGGCCGCAATCGCCGCGCCTGTTAGCGTAGCCAGGCCAGAGTCCTTGCATCAGCGAAACTCTGGCAACTTTACGCCGCAGCGGCCGCTCGGGGCTCCGAGTGGCTGCGCGCCACGCTGGGCTGGGCCCGGCCTAGATGCATGTGTAGATGGAAGGCAGCCCCGGGACTCGGGACCTCCCCGACGGCTTCGTCACGAGCCCATCACGCCGCCTTGGAGGAGAGCCCTGAAGGTGGGTGGTCACTCAGGCCCGGCCAAGGGCCCGGCTGTAAAGGGCGACCAGTTCGGCCCTCGGGGGGCGGCGGCTGGCGGGGAGGGGTGGGGCTCGAGGGGTGGGGAGTGCATTAGTCGACATCGCGCGACGAGGAGCACCGCCCGAGGCCGGCCGGGTGAGCCGGGTGGCGCGTCGGCCCGCGCAGTGGCGCGCAGTGCCGCGCCTCGCAGTGTACGAGCAAACTTTATGGACGTTCCTCCTATCCCTTCTGTCACGCTTGTCCTGCTCCTCGCCGTCCTTTGCCGCTCCCCGACGTCCGGGCCGTGCCGGGCCGGGCCGCCTGCCGTCCCTCGTGAGGGATGGGCCCGGCGTCTTGTGTTTGCGCTGGGACGTACGATGTTCTAGGCGGGCTCGGCTCCGCGTTCCGCCAACACTGTATTCATGGGCTTGCAGGAATTAATTCGGGCGATAGGCCTAAAACACGTGGTCGGCGCTCCCCCCGGGCCTCCGCCGCCCACTCTTTTCGGCAGCCTTCAGCGCCGCGCTGCAGTCGGGCGCGCGCCGCCGCGGCGTCGTGATGAGAATTTGGGCGGGCGGGGCGAACAGCACAACAAGCTGAATAAGTCCACCCACACGTACCATCACGGCGTGGCCGGGGGAGGGGGGGGGGGGCAAGATGGAGGAAGGGTTTCGAAAACGTGGCGGCGCTGGAAGGGGGTGGGGCACGCGGTGGCGCTGAGCGGCGGCGGCTGGGGAACGACAACCCTCGCTTAATCAACTACCCGTGGTGATTTGATTAGCAGCTAAGCCGCTGCGAGCGGGGCTGCCTGTGATGTGTGTAGCGTGCTGTTGGTTGGCTACGGCTGGCTGCGGATCCTCGCCCATCGCGGGATAAAATATGCCGATTTCTCGTCCCCGCGTGTCCTGCCCGTGTGTCCTGCCAGCGTGTCCTACCCGCGCTCTGCCCGCGTGTCCTGCCTGTGCAGGGGCGCCGGAAGTGGGGTGCAGGGTGGGCAGGCTGCCCCCCCTGGACTTTGGTGGGAAGCTGCGAAAATCGAGCCTAGGGTCAGTTGGAGCAATTATAGGACACGGGGTAAAAATGGGACAGCATATTCCAAGGAGTACCCGACTCAAGATAATCATTGCGCGTCTAGTTGGTAACCAGTGAAATAATCAACATCATCCAATCATACTTGCGGGGATTCAATCACTTTTGACAATTTTTGCGAGACCACTGCTCCAACTATCAGCGGTCAAAGCCTTCCCGAGGCGGGGCATGAAAGAGTAGGGTCTTTAGGATAGTAAGGCGTCGAGGGAGGCCTTTGACCGCAACTAAATTGGATGCAGTGACCGCTCAAAGTCAGCAAAAACGATGATTTTTTGAAATTCTTTCACTTTTTGACCATTTTTGCGAGACCACTGCTCCTAAACTATCAGCGGTCAAAGCCTTCCTTAGGCGGGGCCTGAAAGAGTAGGGTCTTTAGAATAGTAAGGCGTCGAGGGAGGCCTTTGACCGCAACTAAATTGGATGCAGTGACAGTTCAAAGTCAGCAAAAACGGTGATTTTCTGAAATTCATTCACTTTTTGACCATTTTTGCGAGACCACTGCTCCCAAACTATCAGCGGTCAAAGCCTTCCCGAGGCGGGGCATGAAAGAGTAGGGTCTTTAGAATAGTAAGGCGTCGAGGGAGGCCTTTGACCGCAACTAAATTGGATGCAGTGACAGTTCAAAGTCAGCAAAAACGGTGATTTTCTGAAATTCATTCACTTTTTGACCATTTTTGCGAGACCACTGCTCCCAAACTATCAGCGGTCAAAGCCTTCCCGAGGCGGGGCATGAAAGAGTAGGGTCTTTAGAATAGTAAGGCGTCGAGGGAGGCCTTTGACCGCAACTAAATTGGATGCAGTGACCGCTCAAAGTCAGCAAAAACGATGATTTTTTGAAATTCTTTCACTTTTTGACCATTTTTGCGAGACCACTGCTCCTAAACTATCAGCGGTCAAAGCCTTCCCGAGGCGGGGCCTGAAAGAGTAGGGTCTTTAGAATAGTAAGGCGTCGAGGGAGGCCTTTGACCGCAACTAAATTGGATGCAGTGACAGTTCAAAGTCAGCAAAAACGGTGATTTTCTGAAATTCATTCACTTTTTGACCATTTTTGCGAGACCACTGCTCCCAAACTATCAGCGGTCAAAGCCTTCCCGAGGCGGGGCATGAAAGAGTAGGGTCTTTAGAATAGTAAGGCGTCGAGGGAGGCCTTTGACCGCAACTAAATTGGATGCAGTGACCGCTCAAAGTCAGCAAAAACGATGATTTTTTGAAATTCTTTCACTTTTTGACCATTTTTGCGAGACCACTGCTCCTAAACTATCAGCGGTCAAAGCCTTCCCGAGGCGGGGCCTGAAAGAGTAGGGTCTTTAGAATAGTAAGGCGTCGAGGGAGGCCTTTGACCGCAACTAAATTGGATGCAGTGACAGTTCAAAGTCAGCAAAAACGGTGATTTTCTGAAATTCATTCACTTTTTGACCATTTTTGCGAGACCACTGCTCCCAAACTATCAGCGGTCAAAGCCTTCCCGAGGCGGGGCCTGAAAGAGTAGGGTCTTTAGAATAGTA